TAAATTATCTAAGAAGTACATGGACAACCATCTACTCCCATAACACATGAAAATACTACATATAAGCAAAATATGCATAAGGATACATTTTGTTTCCATGGATATTCTTCAAAACTCTATGTTGAAAATAAATCCGTAACAGAAATAATATTTGCAGTAATAAAGGCAATAAATGTGGAACAAAACAATGCGGTTAATTCACGAGAATAAAAGAGAAATAATGATATCAAGATTTTACGTGGAAACCCTCCTAATAAGGGAAAAACCACGATCCGAGAGAAGCAATGAATATCACTATAGTAAGGATTTTACACTTGTATGTCTGAGTAAAACTCCAAAGACCGCTACACATTCAAAAGAAATAACACTCTTTTGATTTTTCCACCACACTAAAATATCGCTCACACTCTATTTTTCCTCACAGATTATTTTCCTCTGTGACGCCTCACTCTTCTTTTCTTTCCTTTTTAATTCTTTTTGGTGTACATAGAATGAAGAATTGTCCTCCCTTTTATAGAGAACAAATACACTACCCTACAAATGTTCTAGAGAAGAAAAATAATTTTTTCTTATTCATAGTTTACCTACTCTGCCAAACTTTAAAATTGACAGAAAATAATTTTTTCTTCTTCGTAGCTTACCAACTCTACCAAACTTTGAAATTGGCACAAAGTTATTCAAGATTGGTACATGGGAATGGACCCCACACTCCATTCTCCATAACAACCATAATTAACTAACTTGTTTTTTGTGTGTTCATACTTCATCTTCTGAAGAAAAAAAAAGTACATGGAAAATAGAGGTTTCATCCAGTTGGCGACACCATTGTCAATCATCTCATCAACTTCCATAGGTTTCAACATTACATGACTGATCTTGCTGGCTAGTACAAGACTTACAGATTCATTAGCCCTTTCAGGAATGTTATTTTTACATATGACCCTGCTAATATCGAATACAGTCTCAGAACAAACATTGAAAATTATTGCAAGGAGCACAATTTTCTTGACATCTAGATAATCTTTTCCAAACTAGGAATTTATTTGATTCTTTAAAGATGTAAACAAGAGAAACTTCTAAATTAGTATTCAGAATACTCGTGCCTAATTAAAAATAACAAAATCCACACCGATTAAAGAAAGCCTATCCCAAATAGCATTAAAAATTGTTAGTGAATGACTTACCATGAAAAAAATACAAGATTACAATCATATCATATATTTATATAAATTAGAACCCTAAGTCCTCTTATATGGCGCCACCATAAGCAAGAATTTTCTTTTAAGTTTATTTATTTAAAAAATTAGCCTTCCAGTTTATGAGAATATGTGACTTTTAAGAAAAAATTGTGACTTTAAAAAGAGTTGTGACTTTCATCCAAAGTTGGGACTTTTATTAAAAGTTGTGACTTTAATGAAGAGTTTCGAGCTTTATGAAAAGTCGTGACTTAATGAAGAGTTGTGGCTTTATGAAAAGTCGTGATTTTTATGAAAAAAATGTGAACTTTTCGAAGGGTTGCAACTTTTTAAAATAGTTGTAACCTTTTTGATAAGACACAATAAACGGTTGTTCACACTACCCTTTGTTGTCTATAAAAAGAGGATTTTCCTCTAATTTTAAAACAACAAAAAATATTATCATCATCTTCTACTTCTACAAATTAAATATTCGTATACTTTGCTCCTGCTGAGAGACTTACTGACACCATTGTTTTTGTATATATAAGTTGGTAAATAAAAATTGTTCCATTATGAGACGATGTAATTCTTTAAAAACTATGGTATTAAAGGGGAATAATAGCTTTCTTAAGTGGGCATTGTGCATTCAGTGGACTCGATTTTTACCTTTCAATTTGATTTGATTTTTACATATCCTGGTATGTTGTTCACACTCATCAACTTATGTTTATGATATTTATATTTATTTTTGAGTACATATTTTAAACTCTATTTATGTTTCTACAAATTTATTGTCTCAAATTTTATTGAACATATACGCATATAGTACGTATATTCATTGTGTAGAAAATAATTAATGTACTCAGTTTCAAGAATTTATGTTTTGATATTTATATTAAATTTTATAACTTAAAACTACTATATATAAGCTTACGTATTTTCTAGTTTTACATAGATATGAAATTTCTCACTTATCAATTGAAGAAATTCATTATGCAAGTTCAAAAGTTATAATTGTATTCATGTTCAAATGTAATTTCTTTTTTGAATATGTTAGCAAATTTTTGAATTTTCTCCTTAGACATATTTTACAATTGTATAATCTATGCAACTTTAATGTTTTTTCATATTAGGAACTGTATTTGTATATATATTCTTATTTTCTTCTTTATTTTTCTTTTACTGTTGATTAAAGAACAAATGATTTATTATTTCGTGAATAATTCATTCATTAGAGGTTCTTGAGTTATGTGATAATGATGACAAATAATGAAATTCATGTTGGAATATTGCTAATATTTTTTTAAAAACCTACTTTTTCATTGTTTTTAATGTATGGATAGTTGTAAAAAATTAATTTAAATTATTATTTACAATTGCGCGAAGCGCGAGCAAAATTACCTAGTTGAAATATATAATAAAGAAATAAATTCTAGCGTGGATATCTCGCTCTTTTTATGGAAATTTAAGTCCACTACAGCAAGGCCCAGCAGTAGCACTCCTGACTTGTTCCCTCCATGATACAACAACCTTCACAAAGTATAACTCAAAAACTCTGGACAAGAGTTTAGTCAAAAGCTCCACAAAAAACAACAGCTCCCTTCAACTAATAAGAAATCTCTTTTTTTACTATCTCTTTCCTCTTTATATTTTTCTTTAGTGTTGTGTGTGCCAAACAAAATGAAGATCACCACTATTTATAGTAGAAGAAGTCTTCCTCGCAATGAATATGAAGATAATGAGTAGTAAATAATGATATAATGGCCTTATGAATTACAGTTACAAGGTACAATGAAGGAAACAAAAATGAAAATAAAGAGAGTGTAACAAATACCTCCAATTGCAAATGAACATGCCGCCCAATTCCAACATTCACTGGAATGTTTCTGCTATAATTTTATGACCAGTAATTAGTCAATGGTCAATTCATGAGTAATTAGACAGTATTAAGACAAAAATAATAAGCAAATTTAATAAGAAAAATAACATTAAAATGCTCAATCACTAACACTGCTTTTATGAATATAATAAATAGTAAAATCAAACTAAACAAATTTCAAAATAGGAAAACATGTAAAAATAATACTCCACATTAGTTGCAGTCAGCTATATAGATCGACCAGTAGCCCATATATTGTCTGAAACTGTCCAATCAGAAAGATAATAGACATTCAAGCAAGTCCACAAATCGACTTCACAAAATGGTTCCTTATTTATTCTTACCACACAAATAATCCTAGTTTTATCGACATAGGATATGTTCATGAAAGCAATTCTAGATTCTATATTAGGAGTTGCCTTCGAAGTTGAGCTAGACAACATGTGTGGTTCAAATGATAAAGGCAAAAAAAATTATCAATGCATTTGACAAAGCGGGTGCACTGACACTTTGGAAATTTGCTGATATCTTATGAAAGATGAAAAGATTTCTAAATATCGGATCAAAAGCCAAGTTAAGAGACAATATAAGAACTATGATGATTTTGTTTATAAGCTGATCCACAGAAAAACTGAACAGATGAGTAAACCAAAAGCTGATCTATCTGTAGGTTAATCGCATCATATCTACTACTTTTATTAATGGACAAATCCTAATTAGACATTATAATCTTTTTCCAGTTTCAATAGAAGAAAGAAGACATTTTGACAAGGTTTCTGCAAATAGCTGAAACATATTCAAAGTATTTCTGTGATATAATATTGAACTTCATAATAGCAGGCAAAGATACAACAACAACCACCTTTCTTCGTTCATATATGTGCTATGCAAATATCCTCATGTACAGGAGAAAGTAGCACATGATATAAAAGAAGCAACAAATGAAAAACTAGATGCAACAAACGTAATGGATTTTGCTGCCAATGTAAGTGAAGATGCCCTTGAAAACATGCAATATCTTCATGAAGCACTGACTGAGACTCTTAGACTCTATGCCGCACTTCCTATGGTAATAAATAATTTTTTGTAATGTATACATCAGCGGGCAAGTAGATGTATGCTTTAAAGTTATTTTTTTTCTTCTTATTGCAGAATGGAAAAATATGTTTTTTCGGATGGCACCTTACTACATGGTTTGAATGTGAACAAAGGGGACATAGTGACTTACTAATCATACGCAATGGGAAGAATGAAATTTATATGGGATGATGATGCAGAAGAATATAAACCAGAGAGATGGATCGATGGGGATGGTTCCTTCAGGCCTGAGAACCCTTCAAATTTACAGCTTTCCAGGTTGGTCAAACCACATTATAAGCTTTAATTATCATTTTTTGAAGCGTTGAATGTGACTCTACATTTACTTTGTCTAGTGCATGTATACTATCTTATTATAAGTCACTAAGACTATTCTTTTGCTGATAAAACAGGCAGGGCCAACGATCTGCTTGGGAAGGAGTTGGCCAATAGGCAAATGAAGATATTATCTGCTTTGTTGTTACATTACATCATTTTCAGGTTAAGAGATGACAAGAAGACTTTCAACTACAGAACAATGATTAATCTTCATATTGATGGGGGATTGCCTGTTCTTGTCTTTCACAGATTATCAAATTAAAAGGACATTACAATAATATTTACGTTAGTATTACTTCAATTCTGCCTGAATGTTGTCTATGACATCCATATAATAATTAAGTCTATCAATGACATGGAAATAAAGTTTGTTGTTTATGGGATGTACCATTGTTGCACATTCACAATTACATTATTCTACCTTCCTCCCGAAATGTATTCATGCCATCGAAGTTTGAGATGTTCAGTTGAATAACAATTGTGCCTAGACTTTACGAGAAACTGGTAGTAGAATTTCAATCCTCTTTTCTAGCTTCATAGACAACCACAGATAGGAGTTACTCAGTTGCATGAACATTAAATTAGCGCACTGTTGTTTACTGTTTACAAGTAATAACAAGACATCTGAAAAGCTTCATTTAGAAGCAAACTAACAGAAATTCTACACCACTTCAAAGGATGGGATAACAATGAAGACATGAATATAATAAACTGAGTGACTTTGCATCTAAATATGTATCATTAGTTTGTTTCCTTTAATAAAGACTCCCTGCTCTGAAACATTAGGTCCAATAAAGTTAGCAGATTCAATAAGAGATGCAATCACAGCTCAAGGAAAAAATCATATTGTGGATGTGAATAACTCACATTTGACACGAAAAAATGCACATGTTGGCTCAATTTGTTGATGTATCAAATCGTTATTACATACACAAGTTATTCTGCATTATACAACTCATTCTTATAAAATGGAGATTGAATGAATTTTGTTTCACGGAAATAAAAATGACTAGCAACTTTTTTTTATGGATACAACGCTTTATTGAGAGAGATAGAGGAAGCATCATAAATATAAATTAGCGGAGATTTGGGCCGACAATAATAATTGTGTACTTATCTCATGATGTGAGACTAAAACTAGAAATTAACTTATGTAATAGAGTCAATCCACTTATGTCTTGAGCAGCAGTGTAGGATCAGATCCAACAGATGCTATATTTTTCTTATGAAAGAATGTCTTTTTCAAAGAATCTATATGTGTAAAGAAACATTATCCGTGTTAACTTATAACAATAACAAGCTCCTTGGGCTCGTGCTCAGCGCAAGCATATTTCCTCTGTTATACTGTTGGTTTTATAAATGACGGTGCTGCAAAACAAGGCTCTCATTGAATTTATTAAGCATAAAGGGCTTTAAAGTGAAAAATTGATAATCTGAATAACAAAAAATTCAAATAGGCTAAATAATTTCATCAACAAAATAACCTAATAAAATTTAAAAATTCAAACATGGCTACAAAGTAGATTATACTTGTTAGTCTACACGACCTTAATTGTTTTACGTTTATCAGACTTTATTTAAGTGAATCAAATTGCCTAACGTATTTCAAGAAGATGTAAAGTCCGTCAAGTATGGACACAATTTTTATGTGGAAACACCCGGCTCAGAAGGTGTAAAAATCACGTCATGTACCTCAACAGAATTTACCCCAACTTCACTCAATAACTACGAGCCTCAATAAACAAACGATATTAAAAAAGTTTATCTTAACCTAAAGATTAACAACTTAATCTCAATTCTACCACACACCTCCAAGGTATGTGTTCCCAGTGTCTTCAAGTTTCCCTAAACTTGAAAACGAAGAACCTAATCTCAGTTTATAAATCACTGATCTAGAAAATATAAAAATAAAAAATACTAAGAAAACTTCCTAGATCTGTTCTTCTATATGCTATGATCAGCAACACTTCGGAAATTAATCTTTCAATTGGTTTTCTATATAAGTGTGCAAGTATAATGGAAGCCTCTTCTCCTTTTTACGCTTTTGCTTTCTGAAGTATTCTACTCTTTCAGTGACTCTTCTTTTGTTCCATAAGTTTATTTTATTTTGAGTTCTTCTTGCAATGGAACTCTTTTATAAAAATAGAAGGTCTTGTCAAAATAGTTTCTCGTGAGATGACTTTGCCAACGTGTTCCATGCATTTCATCATTCATCAAAACAATGCTTATCCCAACAATACTATATAAAAGATTTTGCAGAACATGGCTAGAATCGTTGAATGCTTGAATTTTGAGCTCTTATAGCAGCAGCTACCTACCATCAGAAAATTGCAAGGCCTCTTAATTTAATTGTCTTTTGCCGTTGTATTTTCCTGCCAAACAGGCTACAAAGCAGTTTGTACCTATAAAGAACAAACGTGACATCATAATATTGGATACTTGACATTTAATGACCTCACAAAATATTTTGCAGGCGATCCCCTATAATTTCATGTTTTATTTCTCAAAAATCAAATGCATAACAGTAGCAATATCTAACCAAATCTTTAACATTAACTAAGTCAAAAAGAAACTTTAATATGATTGTCTTTCCATAATAGTTGCATAATTATCTAACTTAGTTTTTAGTTTTGATGACATGGTCCCTAATTGATTAATTGACCATTTGCAATATGCTTACAAAATTCTCCTCTGTGTATCAATAGGCAATTCGTTCCTGTTTTTTAAATCATTTTCATACTCTCAGAAAAATGATTTCCTCTACTTTCCCTTCAAAAACTAGCCTCTTATCTGAGAATTATGGATTATAAATATTCAATGGAACACACAAACAATAGAGCGAGATGATACTAATACATGACAAACGAGAGTCTGATTATCCTAATTTTGATTGTTGTCAATATGAAGTCTTTTTACACAATATATCTTTCTCAGAATCATCATTAGGATGCAACAAAATTTCAAAGCACAACCCTCTGATATTTTCCTCTGCAGTGCTCCAAAAACAGGCATCACTTGTCTTAAAGCCTTAACCTTTTCCATTATAACTAGACATAAGGATTTTGCAAACAGACCTTTACTCAATAATTTGTTAGGTTTTATTTGTCCTAAATTTCTTAACATAAATAAGTTTTCCTTTTAAGAAAAGGTTTTGAATTGACTAATCCTATTTTTGTAGGAAAAGGTTTAGGATACTATAAATAGAGGAATGTTCCTTCTAACTTAATCAGCATTCACAATGTAGTCTGAAGGGCTTTGAGAGTTTTGGTTAAGGGGAGAATTTATGGGTCACAAGCTTGATACGTTATCAATTATGTGAACCTCCCATGTATTCCGAGTGAATTGGTTGAGGTTATTTTTCTCTGTATTTTGTATTCTCATATTTATAGTGGATTGCTCATCTCCTTTGTGGACGTAGGTCAATTGACCGAACCACGTTAAATCTTTGTGTCTTTTAGTATATTTCTCGTTGTCTTCATACTCGTGGTCTTTTGAGGTTTGCTTTGCTAGCTTATGCGTTTACACCTGCTTATTTCCGGTCCTAACAAGTGGTATCAGAGCTAGATTCACTGATGGAGTCAGGTTTATTGGTTCGAAAATCGATGATTGAACCAGGTTAGAAGGAGGTGTTCATCTTAACGGGTGTAGTTCTAGCCGCAACCTTTTTGACAGTAATGAAGATTTTGTTGGAGAAATTGTTTCAGAGAGGTTCTTTGTGTTGAGAAATAAATTTTGCAAAGGAGATTATGGAGAGGAGAAGCAAGTTGTTGAAGATTAAGTAAAGAAGGTGGACAAATTTATTTTGTTCGAAATTTAGGCCAAGGGGGAGATTTGTTAGGTTTTATTTGTCCTAAATTTCTTACCATAAATAGAGGAATGTTCCTTCTAACTTAATCAACATTCACAATGTAGTCTTAAGGGCTTTGAGAGTTTTGGTTAGGGGGAGAATTTATGGGTCACAAGCTTGATACGTTATCACTTGTGTGAACCTCCCATGTATTCCGAGTGAATTTGTTGAGGTTGTTTCTCTCTGTATTCTATATTCTCATATTTATAGTGGATTGCTCATCTCCTTTGTGGACGTAGGTCGATTGACCGAACCATGTTAAATATTTGTGTCTTTTGGTATATTTCTCATTGTCTTCTTACTCGTAGTCTTTCGAGGTTTGCTTTGCTAGCTTCCGCATTTACACCTGCTTATTTTCGATCATTACAAGTAGTATCAGAGTCAGATTCACTGATGGAGTCAAGTTTATTGGTTTGATATTCGATGATTGAACCAGCTTAGAAGGAGGTGTTCATCTTGACGAGTGTAATTCTAGCCGCAACCTTTTTGACAGTAATGAAGATTTTGTTGGAGAAATTATTTCAGAGAGGTTCTCTGTGTTGAGACATAAATTTTGCAAAGGAGATTATTGAGAGGAGAAGCAAGTTGTTGAATATTAAGTAAAGAAGGTGGACAAATTTATTTTGTCAGAAATTCAGGCCAAGGGGGAGTTTGTTGGGCTATTGCCCATGTTCCAGCCAAAGGCCCATGTCCTAACCCTACTTGGAAAAGGATTGGAATTATTCTCTTTATTTGGTCTCCAATTCTATTAGGAAAAAGATTGGAATGGTAATCCTATTTGTAGTTGATTTTGGCTTTGTAAGGAAAAGCAACTCTATAAATAGAGGATGGTATTGAGAGAATAATTAATTGCTCATTGGTATTGTCTTTGAAAGACATTAGAACATAAGAGAGGTTTTTGAGAGAGCTTTCAACAAGAGAAAAAGAGAGAAAGAAAAGAGTTCTTTTGCTGTAGTATTTTCTCCGACCAGTCACATTCAGATCGTGTTTCCCAATTAACTAACCGTTGGATCGGGCTGAAACTTGTACTTAGTGTCCCTGACAACTTGATGGTTGATATGAACAGTGGAGATCGGATTTGGAGATCATCAAGATCCTGTTTTAGGTCCCAAACATAAGATGGATTTGAGTGGTGTTTCTTTCTATTTATCTTTTGTTGGTGTAGCTATTGTTTGTTCTCTTTTGGAACTTGTTGTGTAGCCATTAGAATAATATTTGTAACCCTCTTATTGTTATAGTGATGCAGTTTGGATCTTATTGATCCCGTGGTGTTTACCTTCGGTTTGAAGGGTTTTTCCACGTTAAACTTGGTGTTCTTTATTGTTAGACTTTCAGTTTCATCTTTTCACCATAACAACTGGTATTAGAGCTAAGGTTATTTATATGGAGGGGAATATGATAAAGATGGTTTGTCTAAACAGAAGAAACTACAACATATGGAAAATCTACATGAAAGATCTATTGTTCGTGAAGAAGATGCATGTTCTGGTTTTTTCTGCTCATAAACCCGAGAATGTGACCGATTAAAATTGGGAATTTGAGCACCAACAAGTATGTGGATATATAAGACAATGGGTTGAAAATAATGTTTGCAACCATATTGTGAATGAGACACATGATAGAACATTGTAGGAAAAGTTGGAGACGCTTTACGCTTCAAAAACTGGCAATAACAAGTTGTTCTTGTTAAAGCAATTGATGACCTTTAAATATAAGGAGGGCAGTCCTATTCTTGATCATATAAATGATTTCAGGGTATTCTTGATCAGCTATCAGGAATGGGTGTGAATTTTGATGATGAAATACAATGACTTTGGTTTCTTAATACTCTACCGGATTCTTGGGAAACTCTTTGTGTTTCTTTAACAAATTCTGCCACTGGTGGAAAGGTGACTATGGAATATGCGAAGAGTGGTGTGTTGAATGAAGAGGTTAGAAGAAAATTTTAACACACAACGTCACATTCAGATGTTCTATGTACAGAAGATCAAGGGAGACATAAGACAAGAGATCCGAGGAGTAGAGGTAAAAGCAGAAGCAAGTCAAACTTCAAGAATCCAAATATTATATGATATCATTGTGGAAAGAAAGGACATATTAAAAGATTTTGGAAACAATTGAAGCAAGATCTTAATAAAGGGAAGAAGGAAGAAAACAATGAAAATAATGTTGTTGTTGTTGTCCAAGAGGACCTTTTTTTCGCTTGTGCTAAAGACGTCATCAATTTTGTATCTCAAGATACAAGTTGGATAGTAGATTCTGGAGCTACATCACATGTCACACCAAGAAAAGACTTCTTTTCATCTTATACTTCTGTTAACTCTGAGGTGTTAAAGATGGGTAATGCTGGTGAGGTTAAGGTGTTTGGTGTTGGCACTGTTTGTTTGAAAACCAATACCGGTTCAATGTTGGTTCTTTAGAATGTCAAGTATGCTCCAGACATTCCCTTAAATTTGATCTCTGTAGGACAACTAGATGATGATGGTTACCATAATGACTTGTGCAATGGCCAATGGAAGCTCACCAAAGTCTCACTGATTTTAGCTCAAGGAAGAAAACATTCAAATTTATACGTGACACAATGATCGATTCTCGGTGACTCTATAAATTTGGTGGAGAGAGAGACTTTATCAGAATTGTGGCACAAGAGTCTTAGTCATTTGAGCGAGAGGGGGATCACATGTTTGGCTAAGAAGAATTTGCTTGCTGGTATGAAACAAGAAAAGGTGAAAAGATGTGTTCATTGCTTAGTAGGGAAACAAAAAAGAGTTTCTTTTCACAGTCATCCTCCTTCAAGAAAGTCTGAGCTATTGGAGCTAGTACACTCAGATTTGTGTGGTCCTTCCAAAGTGAAGTAAAAAGGTGGTGCACTTTACTTTGTTACTTTCATTGATGATCATTCTCGCAAGATTTGGGTATATCCTTTAAAATCAAAGATCAAGTGCTTGATGTGTTTAAAAAGTTTCAAGCGTTATCTGAGAGACAAACGGGAAAGAAATTAAAATATGTTCGCACTAATAATGGAGGTGAGTATATTGGTCCCTTTGATAACTACTGCAAATCGCAAGGAATTCGTCATCAGAAGACTCCTCCAAAGACTCCTCAATTAAATGGTTTGGTAGAAAGGATGAATAGAACTATAGTTGAGAGAGTTAGATGTGTGCTTTCAGACGCTAAACTTCCAAATTCTTTTTGGGCTGAAGCACTTAACATTGTTACTTATGTTATCAATTTGTCTCCTGTTGTTGCTTTGGATGCTGATGTTCCAAAGAGAGTTTGGTTTGATAAGGATTTTTCTTATGATCACTTGAAAGTATTTGGGTGTAAAGCTTGTGTGCATGTTCCAAAAGATGAGAGGTCAAAATTGGATGTTAAAACTAAGCAATGTATCTTCATTGGTTATGGTCAAGATGAGTTTGGATATCGCTTTTTATGATCCAATTGATAAGAAACTCATTAGAAGTCGTGATGTTGTGTTCTTTAAGGATCAAACTATTGAAGATATTGACAAGACTGAGAAACTAGATTCTCATACTGATGAGAGCTTAGTTGATG